TTGTATACTACACTATGGTTTGGTGTAAATAAATAAAGAACCCACAGGAAATCACTTGTACTGTATCTATGTGCTTAAGAGCATTATGTGCAAGTAGCACGCACAAGAGCTTGTGTTTCACTTACTTAACAAAAATCCTAATTGTGCGAGGTTCTTTTTCTGTGTCACCCAGTTCACACTAGTATTGCTGGTCATCACAATAGACAGTGTTAAATGTCTCGCACACCTGAAGAGGAAACAGGATGTTGTTTTCTTTCTGAGAAGAGCAGCTTCTGAATAGTCGAATCACTGTTGTCCTTATTTTGAGTGTGTTGCCATTTTGTAGCTGAGTCGATATGCTATGATGACGTTTGTGTTTTTGAAGAAGCAGCCATCTTGGAGAGTCATGGCATCGAGGTTCAGAGTCCAGGAGGTCAGTCCAACAGCGACGACGTGGATGGCAACGACTTCCCTGACCAGGTAAACTATACGCGAATTCCTACATCTTAATGTCTGAACATAGAAACACAAACCCTCTAAAAAGAACACAGCAGGAACTCTGTATTTTTAAAGTTAATTGCCTCTCTGATTTTCCCCATGAGAACTGTCCCGGTCTCCATAATTTGTTTTCAAGGGGCTCGGCATAACCTCAATAAGCCATTGTTATTAATGACACCCACAGCTGCTGCTGTTGTGATTATGTTGCTCACTTGTGCACAGCTTGTGTTTGTGCTAGATTTTTGCTTACTGTTGGTACATACTGTTGTATGTACCATATATCTTGTGCCTTCAACAACTCTGTATCACTACAGTGACAACTGTCACAATGTTGAGTATTTATGTAGAAAGCATGTAGCAGTTCTGCGTCTTTGCTCTGTAAATCTGTGGATGATTCATTTGTAACGTTAGCAAATTACTTGATCAGCCCAAGGCCTTTGGATCAAATGGTCTACCTGATCCTTTCAAGGCAGTGTTCTCCCACATGAAACCCATTGCATGTAATCAGTGTTACAGGGACACTACATTTAGCAAGTATTTGCAGAAGAAAGAAAGTTCAGGGTCAGATTTGGTCTTGAAAACTGAAATGTTTGTCACAGTCCTTCACACAGAAATCACTCCACAGATTGTTAGAGACAACAGAGTGTTGACGATCTTCTTTATTTACAGTCGGTCAATACTAAGGCAATAAAAAGTGTTTGACACATGAAAAAATAGCAAAACACAACTCGCCCGTATTGCTCCAATATGAGGAGAAATCTCTCCGATAAGTCGACTTAGCGTGGGAATTTGTTCATAGTGCTTGTATGTTTAATAAAAATGAATGTTTGGCCCCAGTGTGTGAATGATCAAAATCACAGGAATATATGGTGACACCGATAACTTGCCTCTGCCTTGTATAACTTGTTTGCTGGTTTCTCACAGGGCTGTGAGGTGTCCTTATTTGATAAGAGAGCTTCAGCAAGGCAGTTCAGTTTCAGTCGAGCTGACCTGTCCTCTCCAACCCAGGTACAGCTGGAGCACATCTACACCCGCCTTACATTTATCAGCGATTCCACACGGAGCTACAGATCCACTCAACCTTCTTTTTTCTTATCCCCTCACTCAGGTTCCCACACTGCTTCCCAGCTGGTTTTCTGCCCTGGGTAGAGGGGGCGTGTCTGGACAGAGGGCCGCATCTCTGATTGGTCGCTCCCTAATATCAGGCACGGTTCCTCAGATGGAAGGTTCCAGATTAACAGGTGTTTCCTGGTCCCCTCCTTCCCCCTCTCTCCAGGACGAGCCCACAGTTCACAGTGCCCTGTCCGAGGCCCAGGATCCAGTCAGTTTGGAGAAGGCGGCGGCAGTGAGTGACAGCAGCCCGGTGGTAACCAATCAGGGGGATGGCGCAGGGTGCAGCGTGGGGAATGACATCAAGACGGAGACTCTGGAGGACGACTGAAAGGAGAGGCAGATATCAGAGCTGTCAGAGCGATAAACAGGTGTCATTATATGCAAGCAGATTTTATAGGAATGTAATAATAAGTGGAAAAAAATGACCAAAAGTCGTGTAAAGTCCAACCCTGAGATACCTCCCAACCCTACCTCCAACCACCAACCTGCTCTGCTACGCTCGTATAGGCATTATTATTGTATTATAATTATAATATTAACAATAAGCTTTTATTTGTTAGTGTTCCCCAGCAACCTGTGGGAAATTTAAAATGTACCTAAAAACAAATCCAGCAAAGAAAGTGAAATAGGACGCACCTATAAGGGAACACATGCTGTAGCTGTCCGTTTTCTTTGTTGATTGTTTATGTTGAGGCATTTTAAATCTTCCATAGAAGGCTGATAAACAGGACTTTCATGTATTGTGCAGATTTTCTTGGAAAACTGCTTTTTTTTCACAGCAGGACAACACTGTATTTGACATGGAATTCCAAACATTTCAGGGTCTTGCACTGTGATCACAACACAACTTAACAGCCTCAAAAGATAAATGCATTCATTTTAGTTTATATTAACTGATAGTTATAAAGTGTTGCAGCACATTTCATCACAGTTCTTTATATTTTAAATTTTAGATTTAATCTTAGGGTAACAGCATATAAGTAATCTGTCTCTGGGCCCAAAATGTCTGAAAAATGTTTAAGAAAAAAAAAAGAGAGAAAAACAGTATGAGCCTCCCCTGCCTGATAAGATAAACTTAATGTGTAGAAGCAGCGAACGCCATAATGATTATGATAATGCAATTTTATCATTACTAAATCTTTCAGAATTTATTGTTTTCACAGATTTTTCTTGTATTCGTGTGGTTAATTATATGCTGCAAGTTTATATTGAAAATTCAGCCGCCTAAGGTTTTCAGGCACTAATTTGGACTTAAATGTGATTTATTTCTATTTACAATAGTGATATTACCCTTTATAAATATTTAAATACTGTGAATTTAGTAGCGTTTAAACTAATTAGGGCCTCAGTTTCCAGTGAGAATTTAAATCCTGTACGGCTTTACTTTGCTTCCAAATCGATAACAAGTTTTTTTTTAATTTCGTTTTTTTGTTTTGTTCTTTTGAGAGAGTTGTATGAAAACTAGAAACCTGGGCGTCCTTGTGACCGGGTGATGTTTATTCATTCGTACCCAGTTACCTGCTGGATTATATAATTAATAATCAACACATATCATTCAGCTGAGAGGAAGTCAGTAGTGTCAAAAAGCTGTTTAAATACTAAAGATTAAAATGTAAAGTGAATAAATACAGATGGGTGATAAATTAAAGGAAACTGAACCACTGAACTGAAACTGAACCACTGACCCCTACAGTGTTAGGATCCAGTTTGGGCCTGTTTGTCCCTGTAGAGGGAAAGGACACAATAACTCTACTTTCCTAATAAGGGCATTCTCTTCCAGGCTGGCAGTGCATTGTATCTTTAGGCATGCACTGTGCATATAGCTTTCAGACGTGCTTTAAGTTTTTCTAAACATGACCTATCTTTTGATTTTCATTTTTTTTTAAATGGTTATCTTTTGAGGTGAAAAAGCAAGTATGTTTGGTGTTAATGTCACTGGCTGGAGGCCATTGATTGGTAAACATTTGGTGCTTGGAAAGCAGCTGTGGCTGAGAGAGCCATTCATAAACTGATTGGAAGATTAGTGGTTCAGTTTGCATGTCGAATTGTCCTTGGGCAAGATGCCGAACCCCATATTAACACATTTGAGATGTTCAATACGGGTGCTAATATGATAGTTAGTAATGTAAAAAACCTGATATTCCGACTATATTGGCCCATATGTTTTTTCATTCTCTAACATTTGTTGTGTAGCTATTTATTTACTTGTTTACGCTCTGCACTTCTCAGCTGGGATCAGCTGGTTTTTGTGTTTGCATTGTACCAAACATAGATATTTGAAACATGTTTGCTGTTGTAAGTAGGGCTGCCACAAACGATTATTTTGATAGTCGACTAGTCACCGATTATTTTTGCAATTAGTCAACTAATCAGATCATGCATCCATTGGACTTAAAACGTACAGCTTATTGCACCAGCACACATCTGCTCTTATATAACTATCATTAGCTTACAGCTTTAAGTGTTTAAGGTATGTGCTAACTAAAAATAAAG